AGCAAGGCAAACCACATCAGGCTGCTGGACCGCTTCTTGCAGGTGGCATAGGGGAGAGCTCTTCCTGTGAATGTTTGCCTCTAAAATTACAGTAAAATATCCCCAAACTCACAATTACTCTACCTGGTTCTATTTAACAAAGCTTTTAACCTCCAGACCCCTGGGTTTTCCAGCTGTATTGCTTGTGGCAGGAACACCACTCTGTTTGTCCTGTAGTGCTGCTGGCAGAAAGCAGATGCTTTCCTTCAAGAAAACGGAGCTTCCAAGTGGAAAGCACATCCTGGTATTCTAAGCAGATGCCAGAGAATGACTCAGGTGCAGTCTATTTTCCACTAAAATTTAAGGGAAAAAAGAAAAAAAAAAGCATTTTTAATGCATCCTTTAGCTGCAGTGGCTGGGCAGTTAGTCAAGGACTGCCAAATAGAGATTCTTGAACTAGGTAGAAGCTGGCCCAGATCTTCAGAGCTATTTCAATTCTTGTTAAGTGTCTCTGAAGATCTGACCATTCATGCCTAGGTTTCAGCATTGTTAGAATGTTTTAATGGTTAATGTCTGAACACAGTTCTGACATGATCACAACACAGTTATGATTTCAACACAGTTTAAAAGATGGGTTTGCCTTCAGTACAAACCACACAATTTCAAATTCAGACCAGCAACAGTGTATGAATGGAGGACAAAAGAAAGATGAGAGAAATGGGTTGAAAAAGACTGGAAAAAGGGGGATAAAATGCGAGAAACCTCAGCAGAGTGACACAAAGGAAAGCTAGCAGAATGCAGAGAAATGTCTCAGACGCTCACGTAAGCAGGGAGATTTCATTTATTTGACACAGAGGGACAATAGCCCTGCTAACCAGGATAGCTATTGTTCTTTTGTTTTTAACAAAAAGGGAAAATGTGAAGCACTAGCTTCCCAGGGAAAAATCATAAAAATAAGTTCTCATCCTGCTGTCCAACAAGGAATGAGAAGCCTCCCGCACTTCACCTATCGCCCCCACGCTGTTACTCACGGTGTTTGTCGGCTCAGAAAACAAATGAAATATATTGAGGCCTCACTCTGAGGAGAGCTGAGGGCGTTGTTATAGCAGAACAACTTGATTGAATCGAAAACCACTGAGTCAAGGCACTAAGCAGAAAAATGCACGGTGCTATCTGCTGTGTAGTTGAGCGCACAAGTGCTCCAGCAGCCAATGTTTCAGAAGGATTACAGTGCTGGTGTGCTCCCTTTAGCTTTATTTCAGCATTTTTCATAGTGAAGACAGAAAGCCATCCATAACTGGAGGAAGCCTCAAAATGTTGCATTCCTTCAGTGGTGGAAGTGGAGAGAGAAGAAAAGGAGGACTTTGATTCAGCAAGACAGAGGTGCTCCAATGCGAGGGTGACAGCTGGAGAATAAGGACCCTCTGTTCAGGGACAGTGAATTGCTTATAGCCTTTTACAAGCTCAGGGAGGGCGTAAGATGTAAACGAGCTTCGGGAGCCTTGGCACAAACACAGTGGATCCTGTCAGCAAAAAGGACCTTCCACAGAGCACAGGTAGCATCGTGAGCCCGTTAAGGACCATTTGAAGCAGCGATGTGCAGAATTGCCCCCTTCAGCCGGCTTGCTGGAAAGCACACAGCTGTAACCGAGGGTGGCAGGGGTGTCAGATATGCCTGGAGACACGCATCTGGGAATTTCTGCCCAATTAAAATATTTCTGAACACAAAAGATGACAGTTTCCATTGAGGGAGCTGGTGCAAAGCGTTATCTGGGAAACCCAAACAGATCAACCGTGCCCTTGTTGTTTGGGAATTCCCGCTCTTCACAACTGACTTCATCGGGGAAAGGACAAGCTCTGCAGCATCGTAACTCTTTGCAGCAACCACAGGACAAATAAACACAGCTGAGGCAAGGCTCAATGATTTTTTAACCTCTGGATAGTCAAAGCTGTGATGGATTTCACCTGCATGCTCAAATGTGAATATACGGATATGTAATATAAAGAACACAGCCTCAGAGCCAAATCCCTTAGTGATACAAAAGGCAAGTTCTCAGCAGAATATACTACTGAGGGGCATAATAAATATTCATGCTTGTTTACAACTTAACGCACCTGTCTTGGCCCATGGACTTCATCAATGATTCCCATTGCTTGGTCTTGCATAAGGGTGTTAGCACTCCTGAGTTCCTCAGTTCTCTGAAGGGCTTTTTGAGACACGCTTGAGCTGTGTTTAGTACCTGCCAGCAGAAGAAAAAGGCATTTTTAAGTAGACAATTTAAGTTAGGGTTATTTGTGCATCTAAGGCCTAAATAGCATTAGTTGTTTGTACATGTAAGGGCTAAACAAAGGAGGAACATGACTGAATATATTTTAATAATCAGTTTTTCTGTTCTGTGGTGGTTCTGAGAATTTGTTATCATTACTGAACAGTAATTAGTTCTGAGTTTATTTTGGTTATTTACAGATGCTTCCATTCACTAATCTGTATAATTTCCCAATTTTTATCCCTTTTCTTGATTTTTTGACTTTCCAATCTCTAAGGCAGTTCCACGTTTTACAATTTCTCAGATCTCCAGTTTCCTTGTTAAGGGTGCAATACCATGCATCTTCTCTTGCTACCACAAGCCCCGCTAACCAAGAGGGTGGCCACTCGGTCGTGCTGCAGAGCCGAAACTTTCCACCCACACGTTGCTGGTGGCGGGGCATTTCATTAAAAACAATATAATTGTTGCTGATTTTTATTAAAGTGCAGTCTCACAGCGGCGCAAATGGCACCCCCGCTAATTTTCGTTAACTTCAGTGCGTCTCTTTGAAGGAGGGGAAGCGCCTGTCCCTGCCCAGCAGCAAACCCCCCCGGGCTCCCCCGCCCGGGCTCCGCAGACCCGGCGGCGACCGCAAGAGCGCGAAGAGGAGCCCGTCACCTCTAAACTGGGCGTCAGAAAACAATTTCTCGAGAGACATAATGTTTGAAGCTGCATTAACGCCTCGGTGCTCTCAAAGAACGACCCCAAAGCCCCGGTCGCATCCCAAACCCAAAAAGGGCGCGAGGGTCTGGCGACCGCCCGAGCCGCGGCGCGTCAGAGCCGCGGTGGCAGGGGGGTCCCGGGCGCCGAAACCGGCGGGATTGAAAGACGGGGGGTGGGCGAAGGGGGCTGGATGCGGGCGGATGGGGGCAGGTCGGGCCGGAGGAGGGCGAATGTTTCCTGCCCGCCGCCGCCGCCCCCCGGCCGCCCCCCGCAGCCGGGCGGAAGTCAGCCCGCGCCGTCGGAGCTTAAAAGGCTCCCGCACGCCGCGCCGCCCCAGTGCCGGCGGCCGCAGCGGGGCCGGAGCCAGCGCCGCCGCCAGCCCCGCGCCCCCCCCGGGGCCGCCCTCCGCACCCCGCCCGGCGGGGAAGGCGCCCGGCGCGATGGCTCTCCCCGGATCCCACGCCGCCTGGGACGGTGCTGCCGCATCAGTGAGTAATTCCTGCTAATTTACCCCCCGGGGCCGGTGGGCTCCGGCTCGGCAGACCGCGGGGGAGGCGGGCGTTTTGGTTTTCGCTGCTTTCCTGCCGCCGCCCCCCGCCCCCCCCCTCCTCTCGCCTCTTCTTCGGGTTTTATATTATTTTTGTTTTCTCAATAAAACACCACGCGAAGAGGCGAGATGACAAAGGAAATGTGATCCTAGGCGCTGCAGGGGCTCAGAGCGAGTAAGAACCGGAGAGGAGGAGGAGGAGGAGGGGGCGAGCGTAGCGCTCTCGGATAGCATTGCACAGCGGCTCCAATTTGTGCGAGCGAATATAATACACCCCCCATGAATAATTCAGGGCGGCCGGCGGGGACCTGCCGCTGCTCCTCTGCCCGGCCGCCGCAGCCTCTGCGAGCCGCGCCGAGCCCGCGGCACTGAGCGGCCGGCAGCAGCCGCCGGGTACCGCGTGTGCCGGGGCTGCTGCGGGCTCGGCGCTGCCCTCCGCGGGAAGCCCCGCGTAAAGGAAGGCGTCCGGCGGGAGCCGGGACTCGAGAGGCGAGAGAGGGGACTGCCCTTCTTGGCCGTCCTCGGAGCCCTTTTATTCTTCCCATCTCCTCCTCCGCGTCCCGCCAGCGTGAGTCTCTGCCGGTGGGGTGGGCACCAACGCCTCCCTCCATCCCCACCCCCCAGTCATGCGGTGGTGGAGCAGGCGTCGGCGGGGGAAGACTGGAGCCGGAGAAGTCTGCCTGGCCACTGTGTTTCAGTGCCTCTCTCTCTCCTAGAGCTGCTCTGGATTGCAAAAGTGGAGGGGGGAACTGAAACGAAATTTCCCCTTCCCCCCCGACAAGCACAGGTTTAAAGGAAAAGAGGAAAAAACCCAACGCCCCAAGAAGAAAGAGCGAAACTTGAGTTAAGCCCCTGCTGCCCCCCAGCCGCCCGGCCGAGAAGGACTTGCACTGCCGCTCCGACCCGGTTCTGCGGCCGTGGGAACCGGAGCCAAGCCCCGGCGGACAGAGTTCGGTCCCCGCTGGATGCGGCGGGGATCGGGCGGTCGGCGCCCATGCACTTTCCGTTGAGGAAGAGGACAAGTAACCAAACCACGTTGTCAAACTGCTGACCCGAGGGGGAGATGAGAAGACTGTGTGAGGTATTGACCGATCGGGGAATCAATACAATTTGTCTAATGCAACGGGGGATCGGGGGTTAAGTACATGAGAGGGACGAGAGGATCCATTTACTGAGGGAGAACGGGACAGCTACACCTTGATACCAAAAATACTCCCCCCTCCCCGCAGCAGCCATCCCGGCAGCAGCGAGGTACGAGGAGAGGACCCAGCTCCCTGCAGACCGCCGGATCGATGACACCGTATTTGCAAAACCGGCCCATCGATCCCACTTGGCAAAACGACTGATCGATGCCAGCTTGCTCGTAAGCTGCTTGCAGAACTACCTTCTCCCCGCGCCTCTGCTTTTCCGCCCACGCTTTTTTTTTTTTTTTTTTTTTTTTTTTTTTTTTTGAGGGAGGAGAGACACGTTTTTGCCCCCCCATCGGGGAGTCAGGCCCATCGCAAATGGCTTCGTTTCCCGAGTCCGACTTCCAGATCTGCCCGCTGTGCAAGGAGATGTGCGGCTCGCCGGCTCCCCTCTCGTCCAACTCCTCCACCTCCTCGTCCTCCTCGCAGACCTCCAGTTCCTCCGGGGGCGGCGGCGGCTCCTCCTGCGGGGGCCCGCCGCGGCGGCTCCACGTCCTGCCCTGCCTGCACGCCTTCTGCCGCCAGTGCCTGGAGGCGCAGCGGCACCCCGGCGCGGGGGACGCGCTCAAGCTGCGCTGCCCCATCTGCGACCAGAAGGTGGTGATCTCGGAGCCCTCGGGCATGGACGCGCTGCCCTCCTCCAACTTCCTCCTCAGCAACCTGCTGGACGTCGTCGTCGTGGCGGCCGCCGCCGACGAGCAGAAGAACGGCCGCGCCGCCGGGGCCGGCCCCGCCGCGGGCTCGGGCGCGGCGGCGGCGGCTCGGCGGCGCTCCTGCTGCGGCGGCCGCACAGCCGGCAGGGCGAGCCCCGCTGCAGCTCCTGCGACGAGGGCAACGCCGCCAGCTCCCGCTGCCTCGACTGCCAGGAGCACCTGTGCGACAACTGCGTGCGGGCGCACCAGCGCGTCCGCCTCACCAAGGACCACTTCATCGAGCGCTTCGCCGCCGGCCCCGCCGCCGCCGGCCCCGCCGCGCCGCTCGCCCTCAGCCCGCCCTACCCCGCCTCGCCATACAACATCCTCTCTGTCTTCCCCGACCGGGCCAGCTACTGCCAGCACCACGACGACGAGGTGAGCGCGGCGCGGGAGGGAGGGAGGGAAGGGGCGGCTGCGCTCCCGCCCCTGGCCGGCGCCAGAGGGCCCCCGCCCGCATCGCTCGCTGCCGGGGGGCGGCGGGGACCGGCCGCGGCGATCCCGCCGCCCCGCGGGGCTGGGGACAGGGGACAGGGCCGGTGCGGGAGCCGCTGACACTCCGGGGAGGCCGTGCGGCCAGGCGGCACCGGGCGCTGCTCCGCGCCGCCGCCCGGGAGGAGGAGGAGGTGAGGCGGGGGCCCCTCCGCGAGGTGCGGGACATGCTGTCCCCGGAGGCGGGCGGCGGAACCCCGGGGTGCCCGTGAACGGTTTGCAACGGGAGCATTGGGCTGCTGCGGGAGCTGTGCCGCTCCGAGGGAGCTCGTCGGGCGCGTACCGAGGGGTGGCGGGGCCGTGGAGATGCGAGAGAAAAAGGTTTGGGGTCCACCAGAGTCCCGATGCTAAGTTAAACTGGTTTGTGGAGTCTGCTTTGCACAGCGTGTTCGACGTGTAACCCGCTGGAGAAAGAAAAACGAATAAATAGGGAAGGAAGATAACTGTGCTGAGAAAAGGACACCTTTTTGATTAATTAATTATAAATAAATAAAAGGCAGTGAAAAAGTTAGCAGAGATACTCAGGCTTGCATATGCCAGCTCCATCTACTGCTCTTGGTCAGCATCTTGTCTGCTTCTGTGGTGGCAAACATCTACTGATGCAAAAACAGGAACTTGCTTTACGTGGTCTTACTTTAAAAGGCTTTGGCTTTGCAAATTATGATTCTGGTGACCCTAAGTATTGTTTCATAGATCTTAAGAGGCAGTGGCTTCTTCAAAATGTACTTGAAAGTGTCTTAAGTTTCATTGGGATAGTTTCTTGCTGTGATAGTTTGAAACTTGATTTTTCGTTTGAAGCTGGAAAATGGCGATCTGCTGGCTTTCCCCTTTTGCTCCGAGGGTCAAGGCGGGGGGGATTTTGCTGGAATTTTCCAGTAACTGGTGTTGGAGGTAGTTTCCTCCCAGGATGAAACTGGACACAGCACAAGGGGCTTCAGGGGAAAACCCGCCTGAGGACAGGCGTAGTACAAGAGCTTCCTGTTGGATGCTTGCTTAATTGATACACGAAGGCATTTAGCCCAGGGAAATGTGGTGACGCCTTTGTCTTCAGTTTTCAGGGACACTTTTTCCATCTCCTCTAATGCTGCTATAGCTATGAAATAATTCTAGAAAGGTCTGGCATTTTGTGTTTCTTAAAGTTGCTAGTGGCAGAGGACAGGCTGTGGAAGAAGAAAGACCTTAAAATGACATTTGGGGGGCATGAAGAGTGATTGAGGAACAATCAAGTTTTTAACAGAAAGAAAAGCAGCTCAGAAACGTTATGGCAGCTGAGCTGCTTACAGCTTTTTGTGGTATCTCAGTATCTCCCTGAGAGTGGGCTTCCTAAAGCACTTGTGTAACACTGAATGCTAGACTGAAATGAGGCGTGATGTTCTTAAGACACTAGAAAAAAACATCTTTCTGCATTCATTTTGGAGTATAACTTTGGTCTTGTGGTACACGCTGGAAATCTTCTGGTTTTTGTGTTCTCAGTAGGATGAAAGTTATTTTTGAAGTGTGTAAAATGAAACGATTGAGGGCTTTTGGCCATAGCATAGAATATCCAGCTCCTAATGCAATGTACTCTGAATCCACTGGGTAAAAGAGTAGCTGGGATAGGAGCTCCAAGGTATTTTGTGGACTTGAAAGCTTAAACTGCAAAGGGGACAAAGGTATTCTAGCCTTGCTTAAACTGTACTGCTTTTCTAGAAGTAACTTCTGAAAAAGCTTAATTTATGTTACGTAAATAATTTTATTTTCCAACAGTGCACTCTGAAAAGAGTACACCTCTTAAAACGATTGGGTTTGGGTGTTCCTGTGTCCTGTAGACCTAGTAATTGTTTTAAAACAAGTAAGTATTTTCAAGCCTTCAGCTCCTGTTGAGAAAGGCTTTTATTCTGCAAATTAATTATCTACTACTGTTCTTGATTAGTGCGTTTTGGTGGCTCCTTAATGCGGGTGTGCCTGATCAGTATTTGCAAGTATTTATTATTCACTCGAGAGGAATTGTTTGGGAGAGACTGACTGTTGGGAACGGTTTGTCCTGTAAATCTTTATCACTTTGGCTAAAAATACGGGTGAGGTTGTACAACTTTCTTTTTCTGAGAAAGGGTGGCTGCAAAACTGTGAGGGTTATTGCTTGTTTAAGAATGCTATTTACAGCCTCATAAAAGGAACGATAATAGAAAGGCAGCCTTCCAGGAGAGTACTTAGTGCATCACTTAAGCAGTTTGTTGGGCTAATAGTGTAAAAACAAACCTAAAATGCAAGGCAGGAATGGTAGCCTGAAACCTTAATATTAGCAGTTAAAAACTCGGGTTCTGCTCAGTATGTGAGAAAAGCTGGTGAGCAGGATATTCCCTCCGATTAATTCATGCAGGTAAGGTTTGGGCATAGGCAGATCTCATCTGCAAGCTGCTGCAAGAGTAATTCTCTTAAATGCAGAGTTCTCCTTCCCCAGAATATATCCTCTTTACCCTGTTATAAGGAGTTTGACCCCATCCCTGAGGGTTTTCTGCACAAAAGTTGCTGGCTCCTCCCTTATTTTGTGCCTCCTTGCCTAGAACATGATACTCCTGTCCTAATATTACTACTCATTTGTTACCTTTCATCCTGTTCCTCTCTGGTCTTTCCACCCCTCCTTCTGGGAATCACTGTCCTTTCCCCATAATTTTCCCTCATTCCACCTCCTTTTGAGACTCCCTCGAGTGAGAAGGGAAATAGCACCGTGGGTGGTTACTTACTGGGTGTTCCAAGTCTCAAAACAAGACTACACATACACATTTGCCAGACAAGATCAGTGTAGTTGCTCATCCTCTTAATGCAGAGAAATGCAGATTTCAGCTCTTAACTGGGATGTCTGACGTGTTGTCTCTTTTAGTCGAGATGGTTCTGGTCTTGTTTGAGCTGTTGACTCCTCTAGTGTGCTATGAGTACGTAACAGTCCCTGAAACAGAGAATATTAGACTGTTAGAGTAGTGGCAAACATCAGGGAGTGGAGCCCTGAACACTGCTTTCAGGGTGGCAGTGACTGCAGATACTACAGCGATGCATGAAAGAAGGTGAATAAAACTGCTATGAGGTGGGGAGGGACCAAAGGCCAATTCTTTGTCATAAGGCTTCTGTTGAAATCCACTCTGGTGGTTTACTACTGGGAACCTCGCAGTCTGATGTAAAATGCTACGGTGGCAGTAGGGGAAATGTTAAATTTCAGATGTTTCAAAGCATTCTATATGTTTGCAACCCTGGTATTCTTTTGTCTGGCAGTGGGGTTTTTTTGTGTGTACAGCACTATCAATGCTACAGTAGCAACTAGATCTTAATGTTATAAAAACCAGCTAGACAGAGGACTTGAAAGATTTTATTTTAATCTTACCCATAATTACATCAAGTATCCTACCTGATATGTCAATGTGTTCTTGATTTTTTTTTTTTTTAATGTTTTCTTGGAAGTATGAATAGAGTAAACTAAACCACGATCTCAGAAAATGTTGGAACAGCTGTAGGACAGTTGGCTTGTATTGATAAGCTATCTGAATGCAAGTGAGTGTGCAGAAAGTGGAAAATGCCCTAAGTTTCATGTTACATAATAGGGGTTTCATTTATTCCAGAGCTTCAGCTCCTGTGTGCTTGAATATCATTTCATGATAGCAGTGGCGGATGGTCAACACTTCAATAGCGGACTTCTGACACTTTCTAGGGAAAGTGTGGAGTTGCCAAATTCAGTCAGCTTAATGGTGTGTGACCCTTCTAATTCGCATATTGCTCTACAGATTCATTTTAGAAGAGGTTCATGGACTACCAAGACATACAAGACAAAATCCTGTAGCACCACAGCTCCCTGTGTTGCGAGAAAGACCTTTAAAATCCTTTCTCCCCTTGCCTTGGACACACTGTTCCTTCCTTCTCCTTGCATCGCATCTGTCTTTGGTCAGGTTCTTAACTGATCAGATTAATTTACAAACTCTCAAGTTTTTTGCCATATCAGTGAGTTGCAGTGGTTCATGGGGCTGTTGGAGCATGCTGACAAGACTTGCTAAAATCAGATTGCTGTGTTGAATTCTGGGGTTGTGTATTCCTGGATTTCTTATCTTTTTAGATTACAAATAAAATGCATTCCTTCTTATTGTTTTACAGATTGTGAAAGATGCAATTTTTGGAGGATTGTGCATGTATAGGGGAAAGCATTCAACTGCATAGCTGTCAGCTGAACTGAAAGCTACTTACCTGGTACCTTGGCTAAATTTGCTGATTGAATTTATGTCTAAGCTGCTCTAATGTAGGATAAAGCTGTGGTTTCACAACAGGGAGCAAGCTGTCTTAACATCTCATGGCTACTAAGAGAATAGGGGCTCTCACTTCCTCCTCTGTTCTCACCAGGCTTGGCTGTGTACACTCAGGAGATGCTGCTGTGAGCCAATTTAACTTGCTTAACATGACAGAAAAGTTTTTTCCCCTTTTGCTAGCACTGGTATAAGTTTATTTTAATTGCAGGCTAAACTGGTACGAGGGGAAAGGAGGAATGGAGTGGTTAGACAGGAATGGTAGGTTAAATGTCGTTGCTTTTGTGTCATGGCTTTACATTCTGCCAAATGCTGAGCTTTGCTCCGTGGTGCTCCCAGTGCCATCCACCCACACGTCTCGCCAAAGTGGTTGGCTGATGCAGAGGGAGCATGCCTGAGTTCCCAATTCCAGTTCTGCATCTCTTGCTCAGGGATTATTTAAATGAAACTGCAGTGTGTGGTACAGGCTCTTGCTGTTTTTCTTTGTAATGATTAAGGTTTTTGCTGCCTAACAGAGAGATTAAAATCGTAGGAGTGTATCTGGAGGCAATGGTTTTAAAATGCAATACTTTGTGTCACTGGTGTTGTGACTGTTAGAGCTTCAGCTTTAGAGGAAAAAATGTG